TATTGAGCTTCTTGAGGGCAGGTGCTAACCATGATCATCTTTTCACCATTAGAATCCATCCCAGTGCCTGGCATATGCTAGCCTTTGAGCAAATGTTTGTTACCATAAAACGAGACTGTTGTAAATGGCATTTAATTGTGCTCCATGAGTGGGGGTGTGGTAAAAGATCCTGTTCCCTTTTGATAAGAGAAAATGAGAAAGAAGGATCATCGTTTTGGGCAGTTAGAAGGAGATAACCCAATTTTACAAACATTTAAAAACGGCTCCTGGCCAGTCACAGCTGGGTCTAATACCACATCAGGCATCCTTTCCACCCGGTCAATTAGATTCATGGACTGTGTTTCTCATCGAGGAGGATTGTCTCTCTTCTCCCAGCACTTCTGGGCGATATCAATAATACAGAGCAGATCTTTCCAACGCAGGGGTTCTCAACCTGTGGGTCGCGACCCCTTTGGCGGTCGAACGACCCTTTCACAGGGGTCGCTTAAGACCATCCTGCATATCAGATATTTTCATTACGATTCATAACAGTAGCAACATTACAGTTATGAAGTAGCAACGAAAATAATTTTATGGTTGGGTCACAACATGAGGAACTGTATTTAAAGGGCCAGAAGGTTGAGAACCACTGTTCCAACGGATGGTGCCTGCCCAACTCTTTTCCTATAAATCTATCAGAAACATTTTGTTAGCAGAAATGACATGTAATAAATAATAAGTCAGTCATTGGGTTATGGAAGCTGAAGTTTCCCGTGCTGCAAGCTCCCCTTCTTTTAGGTATTTCACTTACGTTGGCCGAGTGGGTAAAGTCACCTCTAGGTTCAGTTTTTCCTAGTGATGCTGATGGTTTGCTAGTGAGGAAGTATCCCTGCTTGCCCATTCTGGCCCCCACCCAGCACTCATAGGTAATTCTCCCCTGTGTGATGGCTTTTGGGTTTCTGAAATCTGTCCTCTATACCTAGTAAAAGGTAAAAAGGAACCAAAGGGAAAAAATGTAATTCCTGTCTTGCACGATGCCACTCACTCCCTTTGGCATGTTGCATTGTCTTCCTCACTTGGTAGTTTTGTTGTTGTTGAGCATCATACGTGATCACCTGGATGCTTTCTCCAGCCAGTCTGCAGACCTCCATCTCCACGCTCGCGCTGTAGCATTATGCCTCCATTGCCTTCCACTCCTTTTGTGAACTCACTAATTACAGCATGGCTTAATTACATTTGTGAGAACAAAGACTGGTAAAGCTTATCTTTTGTTTCAAGGAGCTCGCAATCTATTGTGTGATACAGACATAAACACACGTGTCTTGATTAAAGGGTAAGCAAAACATGGAGGGAGGATAGGAGGAGAGCCACTGAGAAGAGAGGGAAGCTAGAAACAGCAGAATAAATTTGCATAAGTTTTTATTTGAGACACTGTATCTTTCTTGATAGAAGTTCTAGGCAGGTGTAGGGACTTTCTGCAGGGAGGGACAGAGGCAGTTTCATTGGAACTCTGGTCACAGTTATTTAAAGTTATCCCTTTAAATAAAAAGTGTTGGGTGTGTTTTTTCCCAGCTGCAGTGGCTCAGGAGGTCACAGTTCAATTCCAGGTCAGGGCACATGCCTGGGTTGTGGGCTCTTCCCCAGAGTGTATGTGTGTGTGTGTGTGGGGGGGAGGGGGGCACGTGCAGGAGGCAGCCAATCAGTGATTCTCTCTCATTGATGTTTCTAACTCTCTCCTCCTTTCCTCTCTGAAATCAATAAAAATATATTTTTAAAAAAGTGGTTTTGTCTGTTATGTAAAAAACACAGTGGGCTCTCAGCTGGTTTGCCAAAGCACATTGGAGTATTGTGAATCCTTCAAACTGTGTTATCAAATTTTGACAGATTTGTAAGATTAAAGTTTGATCTAATTGAGATTCCTACATCACAGCGATAGATCTCAGACAGAACTTTGAGCGGAGCAGGTCCTAGGACTGAATGTGGAGTAGGAACAGAAGGAGGCAAGCAGCATACTGTCAAACCAGCCCAAGAAAGGATGGTGTGCTTGCTGAGCACATGCCACCATGGCCTGTGCATATCAAAGAGAATGTCCACGGGCAGAACACAACTCTATTCCCACAACCACTCAGAGTTGGGGGTCGGCCAAGGGGCTGGGGGAATGACTGGGTGTGCTTTTGTAGACACTGTGAGATACTGTCACACTGAGTGGTGGTGATGGTGGTTAAAGATTGTTGATTTTTAGTGTTGCTTTAGGCTTTTTAATCTCTTCAAGTGTGGCGCGAAAAATTATAGTATTCTAAGTGGCACACACACACACACACACACACACACACACACGGTGCGTGCTGAGAACCATGGAAGTACTACATTTAAAATTAAAATGGAAGCTATCTCCTTGTTCCTTTTTCTTGTCAGGTAGCCTACCAAGGCTTTAACATCTCTTACCTCAGACGAACATCATCTGTTTCCTTTTTATTTGAGCCTGGATGTTTTCCCCAGCCAGTCTGCAGACCTCCATCATGAGAGCTTATTAAAATCTGGGAAATTTGATTAAGTCTCTATGACAGTCCCCCCTCCCCCCTCATTCTTTTATCTTCCTTTCACAAGCAGGATTATGAGGTTGCTTGATGGGTTTTTAATATTGTCACGAAAAATCTCCCCTTGGGCATGTTTGTGCCGTAGATAACATAACCTTAAGAGACTTATTTAAATGCACTTATTCAAATGAAGTGGGCAGACACCACAGAACCGGCTTGGCACCAAGTACACTTCAGAGGAAGTTCTCTCCAACCAGTGTGATACCTCGTTTGTAGTAGAACAAAGAACCACTAGACGGAGCTAGGGATCAAGAAATCGCAGCTCTGAATTGGGTAGAATGTTATTATATGGAAGAAGCGTATCATTACTTTCAAAGCCTATGCAAACCTTAACTCTGCTAAAGCAGTCAGCTTGCTTTGTGCCTACACAAGGTGAGAGAAAGGGTGATGCTGGTAATGGCCCAATTTACTTAGTCACTCCAATGATGTACGACCGTGGTATAGCCCTGTTCAATTTAGAGTACATTTTACATTTTAGGTACATAATTAACATTTGATCTTCACAGCAATTCAGAGATTGATGGGCAAGAATTAGTTCTTTTTTCTATATTAATGAACTTAGGGTATCTGTACCTGGTAATACTATCATAGGATGTGTCAGGGCGGTTATTTCGTACAACTGAGGCTGCAGGCTCCGTTTTTTCCCTCTTTCATTTTAATGTCCACCGTTGACCAAGCCTGGAATGAACTAAAAAACTAGGGACTCATTCCTTTTGTGGGGCATAGACTCAGACTCTGGCCACACGCACTGGAAATGGATAGTAAAGGGACAGGTAAAGACTATGTGCAGGTAGAAATCTCTCCGAATCAGTGAACAATGGCTCCTACCCAGAAACCTTTGGTCCATGTGATCGTTCCTTAGACCCAGGGCAGGTGTGAAGACCGGCACCTCATCCTGTGCAGTATGGACCGTCCTTCAAGCCAAGGTTCCGGTTCTTAATTGTTAACTGTTTGGGAAGCTGCCCCCGCCCCCACCGCACCCTACCCCTTACCCCAAATATTTGCCCTTAGAGACAAGCCCAGCGTTTTGATGTCAGACAGTTTGTTCTTGTTTTCTAACCTTACACACTGATCATAACAGCTTGTGCTTCAGCTAAAAAAAGTTATGTGCATATTCATATGTTTTCTTGGCTTTTGGGGTAAAATATTCTTTGGATAAAAGTGGAAATCAGGTCAGGCAGTTAGCAAATTTATCAAACGTCCAGAGCCTACATTGGCTTTTGGTTCTATTTAAAAACAACCCAAGATTGAGCTTCTGGAGCTCCATCCGTTAGTCACTCTGCAAGTCTAACCGCCTGTAATAGGACGTCATGAACTACTGGCGCAACACTGGCTTCAGCATCAAGGAGGGGCCACTTCCACCAGGAGGCAATGGAACCCCAGGGGGAAGAAGGTGTTCCAGGAGCCTCCGAGGTTTCCAAGGGCGTATGCTGCCCTCCCGCCACCCAGCCCAAAGCGCACTGAACGCAATTCCCGGCTGTGCCCAGAGGATGGCGCTGCCAACCTAAGCGCCGACCCGCCCGCGGGTCCGCCGCCTCCCCGCCCGCCGCGAGACCCCGCTCCCG